GTAACAGAAGATAAGACTCAGTCATCACTACATGATCCAAATACCTCACTTCAACAAAATGCAAACATCATGACTTCCACTGAACTGTGTTAATGAATTAAACACCAGCTGATGTGCAGATGAGTTTGTATCTGAAAGCTCAGTTTAACTCACGTTGTCGCCCTCTCAACATGACTCTCAGCTGCAGAAGGCAACGCTGACCAGAAGACGTCTAATGAGGTACATAATCTGTATACTGAAGCTTAATTAGTGTAACATATTCCACCATGTCTGTCTGGGAAAAGGAGTAAGGAGAAAGACATCGGTTAATACAAACTGTCTCATACAGAAAGGCAGGCTGCTGATCACAGGACTTCCTGAGAGCGGCTGGTCAGAATGTGACATCATCAACTTGATCCAGCCCTTCGACACTCCCTCTGACATCATCCTGGCAACACAAATGGGGAAGGTTAGTAATTAAACTTTATTGTTTCTTATAGATGAGAAAATGCTTTGACACAGCAGCAGGTGAGACAGACGTCCTCACCTGCTGTCAGGTCACTGAAAGTGTCAGGTTAAGATGAAGGAACTGAAGTGTCGTCTCCCATCAGTTTGCTTTAGATATTACATTTGTGCACGTGACTGATGACGTCGAGGATGTCACGTTTCATCACCAAGCAGCAACTCACAAGTTTGTTTTATGCAGCGAACAGCAGTGAGTCATGTGACCTGCTCTTATTAGTGAGCATGCACAGATTCAGCCAACTGAAAGCAGAGCTGACAGTTTGTTGACTAAACCAACTCTTCCCAATGTTACACATACATGGGTCTGGCTTTTGTAGGTCAACTCTTAGACTAGTCTTAACTGTCTCTGGTCAGTTTCTCAATAAATGTCATAAATACACAATGATGTTTCTGCCTGGCTGGGATCAGCTCGCACTGGGATGGTTAAAGCCAGTACCTGGATCAGTCTATCAGTCCTTCGTCTTTTTGCATTAGTAAACACGTTTCGATGTAACACGTAATGATATGATATGTAATCGAAGCGCCTTGAGGCGACTTTTGTTGTGATTTGGCGCTATATAAATAAAATTGAATTGAATTGAATTCAGAGTGTGTTTTCACTTAGTGTCCATAAGTAATATGTCTGCAGACTGTTTCCTGTGTAGATTCTGTATGGTTCAGTGTCCTCGTTCAGAAATGTTGAAAGTGGAAAATGATGCTGTTTGTGTAACAAATGACTTTCCTTTGGTGTGTCAGGCACTTGTGTCAGTGCCACACATGGACGTTGTTCAGGAGATGGTAAAGGTCCACACGTTCGTGCCTGCCAAGGTGAAAGACTGTGAGGTTAAACTGACGCCGCTGAAACAACACATCAGCTTCAACACACCGGTACGACTC